GCCAGATAGGATATGTCTTATAGGTTTAAATGGGCACACCTTGCTTAAGCACCAAACCAGCATGAAATACTGAGTTGCACAAGCAATGGGACTGTCAACTAAAAACTGGTTGAGGCCAGCAGTGGTTAATATACTTGATTTGCTATACACCTGAAGTTAAAAATAGTAAAAACAATACTTGTGAACTTGTTTTTTCAATTAACTACTTATGAGGGAACAGCAATATAGAAAACATCAAATATCACAATATTTTGTATCTAATACCTCAATATCAATACAGCGACAGTTCTTTACCGTGGCCTTTAACAACATTTTTACACATTATTTTCACCAGATTTAAGATACATAAATATCAGTAATGTGGATAGGGCTTAGTGGGCAAAGGCAAATAAAACAGCTGGAACAGTCTGTTAGTTTGGAAACTACCGAGGTAATGCTCTTTTCAAAAGCTAAAAAGACACCAGAGCCTGTTTTAGATATTGTAACTACGCAAGGAATAAAACTTGAAGTGGTTACCTGTTACAAATACCTTGGTATCTGGCTTGATGACTGTCTCACTTGTAAACGTCATGTCAATAACCTGCTTAAAAAACGGAGGGTTAGGCTAGGTTTCTTCTACAGGAACAAGTCCTGTTTCTCGCTCGAGGCCAGGAAAAGGCTCTGTGACCTTTTGACCTGTGCTGGACTATGGTGATTTGATTTATATGAATGCACCTGCCAATTGCCTGGTCAAGTTAGATGCTGCGTATCACAGTGCACTGAAATTTGTGACAAACTGTAAAGCATTAACCCATCACTGTACCCTGTATGCAAGGGCTGGTCTGCCTTCACTAACTGTACGGAGGCTCAGTCACTGGTACATTTTTATATACAAAGCCATGTTAGGGAAACTTCCATCCTACATCTGCTCCCTGATCTCACGGCAAATTGTAAGTGGCTACTGCCTGAGATCGCATGCTGTGGTTTTATTAAATGTGCCAAGTGCTAGGACTGTCTTAGGGAAGATAGCATTTAGATGCGCAGCTCCACTGTCTTGGAATAGTCTGCAATTGAAATGGAAACTGAGCAATCTGGTGCCACTAAATGTTTTTAAAGCTCGGTTGGATGCTACTCAATCGGAAGCTGTTGGTACCTGTTCATGTGGATAGTTATGTAAATTGTAATCCCTGTAATGATGCTGTATGATGTCCTTTTTGTTGTTCTGTTTATGTTTTAATGTTTCATGTGGAACCTACTTGAGCAGGTCTCCCTTGAAAAAGAGATCAATGATCTCAATGGGATACACCTGGATAAATAAAGGTTTGAAATGAAATGAAAATGCATCAGTAAACTGTATAGCAGGCTTTAAAAACATAAAAAGTACCATATTTACTAAATGTACTATTGATATACTTATATGTTATTTAACCGGTTAAGCCCTGAGCCTGTTTTTCAGGTCTCAGGCTTGAAAATGACATTCCCAGAACAAATGACCATATCTTCCCTTCTAAAAGGGTTAAATTAATAATCTTTTTTCTCAAAGTAATGATAAACCTGTGAGTTGGATGTAGAAAAGTCAGAATCAATATAGATGTTTTTTATTTTAAAGAAAATTCAGATTTTACATAGTAAAAAACTGTAAATTATAGTGTCCGTCCAACAATTATTTCTTACTTATAGTGAAAACTACCCTTGGATGATGGGTTAGTAGACTAAAAGCTTTAGGAATCCAAAGCACAACATATAATAAGTACCCTGTATCAAGATTGATGCAAAACAAGTGACATTTGACCTTTTTAGAGAGGTTTAGCCAAAAACACTCCACCTCTGAGGTGATTTGGGTGGAAATGGGGTTTTTTCCATATCTCTGGAACCCATTGGTCGATTTTGATGGTTGACACCTCTTTCTGACCGTTAGAGCCAATAGAATCGAAGGGGGAGTCCCCCACACACACTCATTGTGAAACAAAAAGGTGGGGGCTTTGCGCATGTAATTTTGCATTAGAGTGAAGCCACATTCTAGCTCTGACATCTAGAAACGGAAAAGCATGGATTATCACTCTCATTCCTCATGGATTATCAGAAATCATTTCAAAGGGACACAGACACATTGGATTAACCTATGGATTAACTTCAGCAGCGTTTTTATCGTTTTAATGCCATTGAAGACCACTTTGGAGAGACTACAGAGCCAAGGTAAGCTTGTTAGCATTTTTAGCTTCCTAGCGCCAAATGTTTTTGCTTATAACGTCGCGATTTCGTATAATTCAGTGATACTGAGGGTACCCATCGATTCTGTGTCACCTCACGATGTGAAACGATGTCATGGATGTGGAGAAAAGATAAATAATAAGGTTTTGTGAGTGATTTTCGGTGCAGTAATCCGTTAGCATTTTTCGCTCGTTGCTAATTCAGAGGCTCAGTGTTAGCATTGTGGGGGTTTTTTTGAAAAAAAAAAAAAAAGATCAGTTAGATGAGTTTCTTCCCGTTACATGGATATAAAACATTCATAGTTTATTAAATGAACATGCCCTCAGACACTGTTTCCTGCAAGATGTTGCGGCAGTGCCCCGGTACCGGGGTCTCTCGGGCTTAACAGGTTAAAGATTAAAAACAAGTTTGAATTACTTGCAGGTAACTGTTGCAATAATAAGAACACATAACGGGGGGTTACATATTGTAACCCTAGTTGTATAAGCACAGGCGGAGCCCTCTACTGGACTCTATGGGTACTACCCTCAATCATGCTATGCGAGCATTCACCTACTGAGATATCTATAAACGTAGCCGGCCCCTCGGGGCGGGCCTACCTGAATGCGTGCGCAAGTCCACCGTATATAAAGTCACGTAGTCTGCCTGCATCGAGCAAAATCCCCAGATACCCCACCTGCTGGTGAGGTATGGGACTGCTCTTCTTCCAATTGACCGCAATCCACTTGGATCAATTGGGCTGTGTTTGCCCCTTCCCTGGACCTGGCCATGACTATGAGGTTGCATTATAAAACCCTCATGCCATGGTCGCGAAGCGGCTGAAGCGCTGTGGCAACACATTTGCTGAACGTGCGTGAAGCAATTTTTGACATGAAAGTAAGCGTCCTTCAGGTCGATGGTTGTGAACCAATCGCCCGGCTGCCCTAGTTCCAGTAATTGGTTTACATATGGAACTTTTTGCAGGAAATGTGCTGATTCAGGCTGCTAAGATCCAGAATGGGTCTGAATTCTCCTGTCTTCTTGGGAACCAGGAAGTACATGGAGTAAAGCCCCTTTTCTCTCTCCTGAAAGTGCACAACAGACACAGCCTGTTTTTGCAACAGGGCCTGAATCTCTGTTGAAAGGAAACCTATCTCCTCCTAGGATGATAGATTTGCCTCTCTTATACCCGCGAATGGAGGAGGGACGCTGCAAAACTGGAGTGAGTAACCCAGTCTCAGTGTCCTGTCCATCCACTCTGTCAGTACACAGCTGAGCTTCCATTTCCCATAAAACTGTGTTTAGGGGACATGCAAGCAGCTGTGGAGCCGCAGCTAAGAAGCTGTAGTACTCTCTGGTGGCCTACTCCGCTGCCAAACCTTCCATAAAAAGGAAGTTTGACCCATGGGGGGCTGACACAGAAAGGGACGATTTTCGACTGAGGTCCTTGAACGCACCGCGGCACGCTCTCGTGGGGCCACGGCTCCGTCATAATGCCGTCTCTTTGAAACGGACATTATGGGGAAATGTGGAATTGTGGAGAGAGATTACTCTTACTCTGGGATAAATGCAATCGTTTTTACTGAATGCATTTCTCACACACACACACATCACTCTAGAACTAGGGTTACAATACGTAACCCACCGTTCTTCTGCAGAGGTCCTTGAACGCACCGCGGCCACTCTCACGGGGGCCGCGCGCCTTCGTATTAACGCTGTGTTTCCCATTCCACGGTGAAACGCATTAATCGGAGCTATTATACCAGGCAAGGTGTGTTTTCTGACAACAGCACGCCGGCAATAGCGTCTCTTGAACCCGCACAGTGCTTTGACAGCACTTTTTGCGGTTTATTCCACTCCCGTGCGCGCAATGGGCGAGACGTCCAACACACCCGTGTTTATTTGCAGCCGCCCTGTCACGCGGCAGTGGGGCAGAGGCTCTCTGCCCAGCCTGCTGCCTGCTGGTAGCAAATGGGCTGCCACGCTCCGCCGCCATGGTCATCACCAGGGGGAAGTACAGACCTGGGCGGTGGACTTCCATGGACGCCGGAAACCGGAAGTGCCCGACAACGAGAAGTCCTCGTCATCCTCCTCCCCGGCAAACGGAGCCATCCGCCCCGCTGGAATGGCGAACGTGAATGGCGAACGTGAATGGCGAACGTGAATGGCACCGCCTCGGCCATATCCTGGTCCCCCAAACACTTGAAGCAGAGGTGGTGGGGATCGGCGCCCGCAATTAAGCCAGGGCACGAAGGACAGGCCCGGGTCTCTAGAAGTGGCGACTCCATGAAGGTATGATAACTCTTTCTTCTTCTTTCAAACGTTTTACTTTCTCTGCTTCAGTTGTTGCTCGCTCGCTGAAGAGAAAAGGATGACAGTCAGGAGGCGTGGCCGCCTTATATACGGTGGGCTTGCACGCACATTCAGGTAGGCCCTCCCCGAGGGGCCGGCTACGTTTATAGATATCTCAGTAGGTGAATGCTCGCATAGCATGATTGAGGGTAGTACCCATAGAGTCCAGTAGAGGGCGGAGCCTGTGTAAGATATAACTGTCTTTAAAGCATTTCATATTTTAGCATTCAGCATAAACTGAAAATGAAATGGTAAATTGTAATGTCTCTTCATGTAGTCTTTGCCTGGGTACACAAATAATAACTGCATTTGTTTATTTAAAACAAAGGCAGTTGAAAAACCTTTGGAAACAAAGAGAGCGAATGGAAAGAGAAAGCCTAACCTACATAGGCATGAAAAGAGTAAGGGCTAGTAAATAAGGAGAAGATCTGGTCGGTCCTGCTATGGCCATATAGTGTGATGAAAGATAAAGCACTGACCTGGGCTCCATCTCTCAGCTTCAGGATGCACTCCATGGTGTTGATGGTAATGACCACAGGCTCCGAGCCCAGCTTGGTCCAGGGTACGTGGATACGCAGCTCATGGATATGACCACTCATGAATGTAAAGGGCAACTTCAACTCCTATTAGTATGCAAAGACATATCAAAAAAGAAACAAATAGCTATTTAACTATAGTTGGAATAATATTTACCATAGTATTACATCTGCCATGACATGTAGACAACATTGTAAAGACATGTGGTGATATGACTGCTGAGGCTTCAAGAACATTTGGATCCTTCATCCAACCAATTCTAAACAATTGTTTGAAGCTAATATTTGAAGACAAAAGGATAGTAAAACAAGAGTTACATATTGCATATTGGTCATGCTTTTTTCAAAACCAGTCAGATTTTCTCAGAGGCAGACAAATCATTGTTCTGCATCTTGAACCACTCTATGTGAGAACAAGGTCCATGAAACCAGACTGCCTACGGACAAGCTTTACATGACTCCTATGTAAAGTATGTCTGCAGGATAAATCCCACAATGTTACACAAAAAAGTATATTCTCTTCTTTTCAGATAAGGAAGAGGGTCTCTACATTTAAAAAAAAAAGATACTGTCCAAATGAAAGACAGTAGAAGGAAGGATTTTGACCAAGGATTTGACATAGCATTACACATTATAACCCTAACACAATTCGGTTGTCTTAAAGCTGCTTCCAATAAGATCTTTCATCACCATCTCTGTTGGGTTAGGTATTGTTTTGGTCTGCTTTTCAGAAGCAGTCAGAACTCACTCAAAATAAAACATTTTATTTGAACTCATGGCAGATTGATCTAATCCAGAAATTACAAGTGTAAAAAAATAAAACTGTGTCAAAATAAAACTGCAGGAAATCTATTAAACTGCTACAAAAACAATTATAATAAAGATTCTGTGTTTATGCCTGGCTGATTTGCATCGCTCCTTTTTTCTGATTGTCGTCCAGGAAATAGAGTGTTACTAAATACACATATATACTGTACCTAAGGAGTAGACTGAATGGGAAAATGGGTTAAGTGGGCTACATGCTTAACCTCAACATATTAGTTCCAACATATAATCTAATTCTGAAACTATTGTAAAAACATCATGCAATGTAAGCACTGTCATATTGGGTGCTTCGCCATGTTAACATTTCTAATTGTATAATGAAGACATTCCTTTAGATATCTTAACTGTATGTTGTATTTTCCTAGATGAGCATTGTTAAATAGGCTCTATTCTACTTTTTGGGGTTTTACCTCTCCTGTTAATTCAGTTAATACACACATCTTCCGATGCTCAAACTTAAACACATCATCAGTGTTGTTTCGTGGAGTCATTGGGTGTTTCGGGTCTTGCAGCAGACACCCTCTTCCAGGCAACCCGACCAAGGTTGATCAGACCTCAGCCTGTGTTCTACAGGTTTTTGTGCATGTAAATGGTCTGCAAAGGCTAAAATCCCTGTGTTCCCTCCAGAAGGAGTTTCTCTCCTATGCGGCTTTCACACCAGCGCTTTTCCCTTTCTAGCTCCGAGCTAGAGCTTTTCTGGTTCAGCTCCGGTTTCCCTTTTCTGCTCCCGCTTTGTTCACACCACTCATACCCCTTTCACACCAACGGTGTTTCAGGGCCGGTTCGGTGCTGGTGCTTGAAAAGCACCGGGTTTTCCTGTTCACACCGCAGCGGAGCAGCGTCATAGCTCCGGAATCCGGTTCGTTTCGAGCACCAAAAAGTTGTCCGTCTAGAAGCAAGAACCGCATACGTCACGCTTACGTCGGAGGGGGGCGAGATTAACCTGAGCTAACACTTAAGGCGAGTACGGCAAATAAAAGTTGTAACAAGCAGTAGTGCTGAGCAAAGTGACTAGAACGCAACCACACACTTGTTAAAAAAAACACACTTTATAAAGTCAGGCAACACTAACCAGGCTTCGTGTGATTCTGTTTATTTGTACCTTACTTTGACCATCCGTTCGCTGTTATTGATCATTGTGGAGAGCAGGCAGACGTTTTGTTTGTTATTATAGCAGCTATCGGATGGAATCAATACATGGGCTGCACAGGTTGTCATGTCCGACTATCACAAGTAGAATCATAATGAAAAATACGTCGGTAAAAAGTGCCTGTAGAAAACTGCTTAGCAAGTAGTCAGTTTAGCTTCGGTTGCTATGCTAACATCACCCATGTTATACCAGAGAAACTTTCATAACAGCGTTGTGATGCCAAACAGCGTCAATTCAGACTGACACCAAACAGCGTCAATTCAGACTGACACACATTCACTTAAGGGGAACTGGGGATATGTATCAGCTGCTTGTGTGACAGTCAGACAGTGAATACTTTAGAGCCGTGTGAGCTAACCCGGAGCTAACGGGAGAATACACTCCCGTTGAAGAGCAGCCGGCCAGCACTGCAGCGGTCGGTAAATGCCGCTGAAACACATTAATAAACAATGAACCACAGCACTCTGGAGAAAAGTATAAGGTTGGAGAAGTCGTTATTTAATTTAATCTGGCTTCGTATGATTAAAAGCAACGCAGTCCCCGGCCCGTTGTTGTGAGGTGAGCTCCGGCGTTGGGGAGAAACTCAGCGACGTAAACTGTGACGTCATGACGCAGCAGCGGCAGCACCAGTCGGGCTCTGAGCGGTGTGAAAAGAGCCGGCGCTAAACCGAAGAACCGGTTCTGAACCAGAAAAGCTCTAGCACGGAGCTTGAACCGGAGTTGCGTTGGTGTGAAAGGGGCATCAGAGCCGGGATGGTGCTGCCGCTGCTGCGTCATGACGTCACCGTTTACATCGCTGATTTGCTCCCCAACGGCGCTCACAACAACAACAACGGGGGACTGCGTCGGGTCGATGATCGTGTTGCTTTTAATCATACGAAGCCAGATTAAATTAAATAACGACTTCTCCAACCTTATACTTTTCTCCAGAGTGCCGTGGTTCATTGTTTATTAATGTGTTTCAGCGGCATTTACCGACCGCTGCAGTGCTGGCTGCTCGTCCACCGGAGTTTATTCTCCCGTTGGCTCCGGGTTAGCTCACACGGCTCTAAAGTATTCACTGTCTGACTGTCACACAAGCAGCTGATACATATCCCCAGTTCCCCTTAAGTGAATGTGTGTCAGTCTGAATTGACGCTGTTTGGCATCACAACGCTGTTATGAAAGTTTCTCTGGTATAACATGGGTGATGTTAGCATAGCAACCGAAGCTAAACTGACTACTTGCTAAGCCGTTTTCTACAGGCACATTTTACCGGCGTATTTTTCATTATGATTCTACTTGTGATAGTCGGACATGACAACCTGTGCAGCCCATGTATTGATTCCATCCGATAGCTGCTATAATAAAAAACAAAACGTCTGCCTGCTCTCCACAATGATCAATAACAGCGAACGGATGGTCAAAGTAAGGTACAAATAAACAGAATCACACGAAGCCTGGTTAGTGTTGCCTGACTTTATAAAGTGTGTTTTTTTTTATAAGTGTGTGGTTGCCTTCTAGTCACTTTGCTCAGCGCTACTGCTTGTAGGCAGGCATGACGAGACTCTTCAGTCGACCCATGTTCAGGGGAGGTGGGTTTAGTTTCCTGCAAGCCTCGACGTAGAGAGACGTAAGCGACGCCGCCTCTTAGCTCCGGAGTCTTGCTTTTAGACCGACAATTTTTTGGAGCTGGAAACGAACCGGATTCCGGAGCTAATGGGGCATTTCCACCATGGCGCGGAGCGCGGTTTAAGCGTGCCGTGTCGTGCCGGGCCCGTTTTTGGTTGCGCTTCCACTAGGCCTAGTTCCGGCCCGGGGCTACTTTTTCACCTCTTTTCTGGCCCGACAAAATCGTGGTTCTATCGGGGCCAACAAACAGGGCTGAGTCGGGCTGAGTTTGCTAAACTAGAGAGAGAATCGCTGGCAAGGGGGCTACAACTACAACAAGATGAACATATTTGACCGTGATTTAATTACACGTTTCAAAATGATGCCGAAGTAACAACATACTGAAAAACCATGAATTAATGCTTTGACAAGTCTGCAGACAGACGGCAGGTGAAAAACCTTTTAAAATGCGTGTTTTCTAGATGGAGATTGGCTAAGCTAACGCAATATATGCTCCGACCGTCCACACTCACAACAACGGCCTACAGACATAAATAAACCAGCGACTGTATTCGCCATGACACAGACAGTCTGTGGTTTGTACTTGTTTAACTTTTGTCTAGTTTCTGAACAGATATGAGGAGCTGTGAGCTCTGATGGCTAACAGCTAACGGCTGTGTTGTTTTTCTGGGGTTCTCATTGAAGATGACGTCACGGCTCCGCCTACACTGCGTTACTATGTTAACTACCCCAGTTCCTAAACTGTAATGGAAGCGCAGCATGAAGTGAGCCGGCCCTAACAAGGCCCAACGCGGCCTCGCAGTACCGAGCGAGGCCGAGGCCGACCGTGTGGTGGAAATGCGCCGCTGCGGTGTGAACAGGAAAAAACGGTACTTTTCAGGCTCTAGCTCCGAGCCGGTGCTGAAAACGCGTTGGTGTGAAAGGGGCACTACACACTCCCCCCCACCTGCCTGAAGTGCCTCCATTGGACACCTTTGTTTACTTCAGTAACATAATGACATCAATATGTTACACTTGCACTTCTATTGGCTAGTGTTCCAACACATTATACGCTAAGGGGCGGGACATTTCTAACACATCTCTAAGCGGTTGACCTATTACAACAGAGCCAGCCAGCTAACCAATCAGAGCAGACTGGGCTCTGATTTCAGACAGAGGGTGAAAAGAGGTGCTGCAGCACAGGCAGTATGAGAAAAATAAAGAGCTTTTTGAACATTAAAGCATGGAATCACGCACAGTACAGCCACTAAATATAAACCTGAAAAAGAGCATAATAGGGCCCCTTTAATAAACAAAAGCCATAAACAAAATGTAAATCAACTGCAAAAATTGCTACAAAAATAATATGAATGACATGATAGAAGCAAAAGACTTAAATCCTTTGCAGTAAATATTTTCTAATGAAATATGCAGGAAAGATACATTAGTTTTGGAAAGTGTATATGACTTTGATTCCCTTATAATAATTAACAATCAAGACACTAATGGTAATCCGAGAACCTGTGTGGCTGGAGCAATATGGACCAGATATTATGTATAGACATGAAAACATTTCTCCCACAAGCTGCACTGAGCACTAGCTCATATCTATAATTTGTCAGAACTTAATGACATTCAAGCAAATAAACCATCATGTGCCATTAAATGAGAAAATTAAATCTCTGTCATACTAATAAGTCTTGTCTTGGTCTTGAAATAGTTTAAGAGTGCAGAGGATATACGGTACCTGTTCCAGCACATCCAGCTTCAGGTCCAACTTGCTGAGCACCACATCTCCTCCCCAGAGAGACAGCTGCAGGTCAGATGGCTTTAGATTCTTAATATACTTGTTCACATAGCTCATCAGGAGTGGTGTAACATAGGACTCCAACATCTTGTGCTTTTCCTGAAAAGGCATCAAATATTGAACAACACAATTTGTCATTCAACACTGTCTTTGTACATAACACATATATTGCACATTTTTGCACACATAATGATCTGTATTATATTTTAAAGCCCTCCACTTATATATAAAATATAATACACTGTAGTTTGCAAAATATAGTCATATATTGTCCTAAGTGTTTTAGTTTTTTTTAGCTTTTAAGGTTTTTTAATGCTAAATAGTTTCTTTAAAATACTTATTTTTATTATCTTTATATATGTTGAGTTGACCTACTATTGAAACTTGTTTTCTTTTCTTATTGTTTGTTTGCACCACCAGACACAAAAGCAAATTCGTACCTGACAATAAACCTGATTCTGATACTTCAATCGCCTTAATAAAATGCTTGTTTAACCTAAACAACAGTACTGTGCATGTCAGCTCATTGGAAAGGCTTATGGGACACTCATGGAGCCACAATTCATGAAAGTAAGTAAAGTAAGACTTGTAATAACAAGTCAAAATATCCATTTGAAAAGAAGCTTATTAATAATGTCATCATTGTTCCTTGGCCCGAGGCCGAGACAAATAGAGACTGTGCCTTTGAGGCTGTAGCTCTCAAACTTCTGAAATCTCTCTGAAAGGCAGAAGACATTTTGACAATTCAGAGTAAAAGAAAACACTTTTACAAATTTAAAAGCACAAAATTAAAGCACGGCTGAATTTAACTGAGCAACTTTAATTTCATGGTCTTGGTTTAGACCCTTTTCACAGAGGAAAGCAGCATGTCAAAGTAGGAAGAGCAAAGGTGAGATTCATAACGTTAACAATGGCTCAATTCCATTAGAATTCCAAGTAAGCTCTTCCACTGAGCCAACTATGTACACCTGTGCTACAAGTCCAAATGTGATAAAGAGAAGTTATCCTAAATAAACAAATAACTGCAAGGAAAGAAATGTTAAAAATCCATTCTTGCAGTGGTCAAATGTATTAAAAAGCCAACATGTTTAAAACAAATCTAGGTATTTGTCAGGGCAAGTAAAAAACAGAACAAACGGGTGTGGCCTCACCTACCCGGATACTAACATGGCAGGTGAAAGAAATTCAAGAAAATAAACTACACAAAATACCATGAGGTAATAAGAAAAAAATATGATACTAAGAAGCATAGTGCAGAGCAAAACAATCAATACGATATATATTTTACAAACAACATGTAAAGGGCAGTACGAGAGCCACTTGTTATCAATATGTTTTTGTTTCTGCATGCCATGTCTATTTCAACATTTGGTCTTTTAGAAATGATATTTACGCTAAGCAGAGAAATAATGGGAATTCTGTTCACATGAGCTGCATTTCAAGGCTTTTATTTTCGCTGTTGACTAATACATGTCAGTGGCCATACTTATTAACGTATTAATTTACATCAGCGCTTGAATTAGCCAGCTTGCTAAATATGAATCCACTTTTTATGCGAGCGACTATAAAAGAAACGCCAGCGGTAGTTAGAAACTCCATTTCCAAACACCGAACAATGTAACTAAATATAACGTAAGGGTTAAATTAAGGAGAGTCGTGCTATGTAGTAAGAAATGTAACGTGTGCGGAGTAGCTAGTTAGCCAGATAGGCTAGCTGTGCTCTCCTGTCAGTCTAGTGATACACATTAAAGCAGGGAAGCTAAGCTAACTGCTCCGAAAAAGTCAAGCTAACTTCGTTTGGCTACATAAAACGTACAGCCACAAGTGAACATAGAGAAGCCAGCGCTTACCGCGTGTCTCCTGTTGCTATACCGTGAACTCGATGTTTAATATAACATTATCATCCTGTAAATAGATGTTAGCCACATCACTCCACGGCTTCAGCCGAAACGTCATCAGTAAACAACACCACCGCGGCTTCCGTACATCTAGTGTTGCCTTTGGTAATGTGGGACATTTTCCAACCGCTTTACGGTGGTCTTCAAACCTGCACCGCGATAATAAAGAAACGGCTGTATCTGTGCCATTTCGTTTGAAAACATATAGTTTAACATTTATAGTGTTTCAATTCAACTCATCAATAGCCTGTTTTAGATAAATACGTGCTCGTAGTCCCACAAGTGACATCTCCGATAAAGGATTTCCGAGGAGTATGGGAAGGTATCAATTCACGTAAAATTCGTCATAGCTTTCGCGTGACCCTAGGCCTACATGGCTGTGGAAACTCACATTTGTCAAGACTCTGGACAGGGTCGGGTGCGTTTAATAGGCTTGTATTCCGTTTTAGTTAATAGTTTCTTGGGAAAAAAACTAATCAGTACCACAATAAAAAATAAATCCCGATCATTTTCCGTTACTTTGGGATTACGTCAATGTCGAATCGAATGCAATGCAAAATAAATACAAAAGGAAATAAATATCAATGTAAGTGATTACAGTAACCGATTTTGTATCCTTTTTACGTAATCCCGTTACTGCTCAAGCCTAAAAGTATATTAAACTTCTCAATGGGCAGCTCCTAAGTAAGCTTTTCTTGAAATTATTGAATTATCTATGCAAAAAACAATAACAACAGAAAAGAAAAGCAGAGATTCAGAACGAGTAGGCCTATGTTAAAGTCAATGAAAGTAAGAATCTTTATGTCCCGTCACACAGGTGATGTGTATGCTTTTCTAAACAGTGTTTTGGTCATCTAACCGTTATGATGGAATGTCATTATCATGGTCAAATAGCCTGATCAACTGATGCTCACTGAAATGTAGGCTAGATATAAACTGTTATTGGATTAATATACTGCGTTGGGTAAAATAAAGCGGCGGGAAATTATCATGCCAATACATTCTGAAATCGAAATTACAAGTGCATATAATGCATATATATGTTTGTCATGATAACATATAGCCTATATGCAATTATATGCATTCAAATATTACATAGGCATAATTGTGGTGAAAAGTATTTACTTCAAAATCAAACTTGTACACATTTTATTTCTGCGGCCATTCGGTCATGTCAAATCATATCTCTCTTTCTGAGGATTTCCGTGGCTGCCAGTTTTAAAGTGTTTTAAAGACATTTTTAAAGACAATAGGCCTACTATAATAACTAAGTAGAGTTCATTTCTCACAACCTGTCAGTACAAATACATCTAAATAACTGCCAAACCAACATGGTCTTTCACTTGAATAATGAGCAATTGTTTAGGTCTTAGGGATGTATCAGATTGTTGCGCTAAGCACAGCCCGGGTCAGGAGATCATGGAGGCAGCGGAGCCTCTCCCTGTCCGTTAGATAAAGCCTGCTGAGTACACAGTCCACAGGCCTGTGTGTGTGTGTGTGTGTGTGTGTGTGTGTGTGTGTGTGTGTGTGTGTGTGTGTGTGTGTGTGTGTGTGTGTGTGTGTGTGTGTGTGTGTGTGTGTGTGTGTGTGTGTGTGTGCGTGCGTGCGTGCGTGCGTGCGTGCGTGTTATATTCACAGTCTGGCATTACCGTTTATTTGAATGCATTGTACGTGTTCAAATTCAGTAGGCTATAGCATTCAAATGAGGACGTCGTTTTTTATTTTTTCCAAGTTGAAATAAAAAAGAATTAAACAGGCTAAACGAATTGTAGATAGAGTAGTGAAAATAATTCACATTTGAAGAAATTATTATATCCAATCGGAGCATTGGCTTCATGAAAGGACGCTGAAGAATCTGAATATGATTTAATATAGGCTAGTGATGGGTAATTTTAATAATTTGTTCTCGATCTTAGTATAAGTGTTGTCCACACATAAAGGTGTGTCACCTTGTTTGTATTACACGGTATCCTTTTTCTGAGCTGCACATTATGATGGTAATGTCCTGTTCGATCTTCGAAGAGAAGCGTTATGAGAGGATCTGTTAAAACAATATCAATCTTTTTCTTTTTCTTTTTCAATTAAATATATTTGTATAGGCTTCACCGACTATGGTTGACGCAGTCTGAGTTCATAATTAAACTTCAGGCTTGTTGTCGTTTATACATACTTGATTAATTGGTGTAACTATGCTATAATATGAAACTTTATTAAATAATAAAATAGAATATAGAATATATATTTATATAAAATATGAATGAGTAACTTTCTCAAACAATGATTTGCAAACCAAATACAAAACCTCAGGTTTTTGTCCTTATTATCGTCCATCATCTTCATTATTATTAGCTATGACGTGGCCTACACAGTCCATCTTTCATCAGTTGCCTCGTTTTCAGGATTTATTTTTCGGTGATTAATAGTTGTTGTTTTTCTCGGATTGAAGAGATTGCTGGAGAGGTTTCACTTTACCTTTACATTTGGAAAATATTCAGAAAATCCTGCAGTTACCTGTAAACGAGAGTGGTTTTGAAACACCTGTTGTTACTCAAACCCTTATTTTCGAGCCCGTTGAATATGTATTCTCAAACAGTTAATTGCATTGTCAGGTGAACATGGTACATATGCCAGTAGCCTGTGTCAAGCTGGCCAAGACACAGAAAGGCAGAGAGAGGAGGGGGTGTTATTTCTCTGCACCGATTATATACATTCAGGGCTGCCCCTGGCCAACTTGTGGCCCCAGGCAAAGTTATGTGATGAGGAGCCTCGCAGCGGCGAAACTGTGGCCAGCTTAATTGCGCCGCATTTGCGCATAAACTGAGGTGCGCCGCATTTGCGCTTCAGATGAGGCTCCCTCCGCAAAATGAGGTTCCCTCCGCGAGGTGAGGCTCCCTCCGCACGATGAGGCTCCCCCCGCAAGGTGAGGCCCCACGCAGTCTGCGTGATCTGCGTGTAGGGAGGGGCGGGCCTGTAGCCTATATATTAAATAGTAGGCCTATAGATATTCGGACACCGGGCATAGCTATGGTTAATATGTAAGCGCATTCTGAATTTAACCGATCAAAGGTTAGTTGGATCAAATCCAAACATGTACATCTTTCATAAATCGCATTTATACAAAACAGTCTTAACCTTGCTTCTATCAACCATCTCCCGGAAACGTATTCTGTATAATAATTATACTGTGAGAATAAATAATTATTGTTTAAACTATAGCCCACATAGACTATAGGCTACTTAAATGAGCTTTGACTCGAGTTGTGCGGCTGCTCAGATAAGTAGCATGATGTTTTTATAAATTAAAAATGTGCTCAACAACAATTGGTAGAGGGTTGATGTAGGTGTAAAATAGGGTCTAAAAAACTAAATGAAATCAATTGTATATCATTTTTTTGTTGGTTTTGTAATTGATGGATTATTGAAGCTTGATCAATTTCCCCCAAACATATAATCCGTCAACCAGGTCTCATCTCCTTCGGTTAAATTGTGTCTTTGCGCTGGAGACTCTTTCTGTCGCTTTGAAAGTCCACCGACATCACAGGTGATGCAGAGACAGATGATGAAGCTTCTAATGAGGCGAAGAGAACACGAATGAGCCTCTAGGATCTAGAATAACTGAGCTCTATAATTAAAATATTTACACTCAACACTTAAAGGGGGATGGTGTACATCTGTGTAAAAATCGTAATATGATTTTCATTTTATTAAATAAACATTCGGATTGTTTACCATAATCAATTGAAAAGACACATCATTTTGCATTCCATACTCATAGCTGCTAACGGATATATCCTGCTGTAGCCTACTGTAAAACAGAAAAATAACAACAGCTCTCACTGGCTGTAAACATAGGCAGTCATTGTTCATAGGAATCGATTTTACCTAAATATTGCTTTTTGGGCTTTTACACTGTGAAGCAGATCATGTAAAAAACAAGGCATATGCAAATGTATCATGGAAATATTTAATTATACAATACAATTTAACATACTTTAAACTTATGACTGTTTTTTGACAAGTTTATAGTTTCAAGGTAAGACAGAACATAAAAAAACATTATGTACAGGGTCTGGATATGTACAGGTGGTCTGAAAGCATGGCTCTTGAGATGTAACCACATCCCACTCTGAATAGTGCGGCAGTAAACGTGTCCTGATTTGGAGATTGTCTTTGAAAAAAAATAGTCGTTGACTTGTCTTGCTGCTTTTTGTCCATTATTATTTGTGTTAGTCTGTCCAGGCTAGTAGTCCTGATGTGGGCTGTGCGTCAAACTGTGCCGTCGCAAGTCACAGTTGCGCCGAAACACCTTTCCGCAGCGGCCACAGCTGTAGGGCTTGATGTCTGTATGGGTGAGAAGGTGAGTTTTCAGGTTACTTCTTTGATTAAAGGTTCTTCCGCATGTGGGGCATTTGTGGGGAGACTCCTGTTTAGATTTGAAGCAAGCAAAGGATTATTCCCTTTAATTGTATAGAACGTCTATAGCAAAGCTTTCATTCATCTCAATTTGTTCACTATTGCGTCAGATATAGCGCTCACTAATTTACACAAAGTTTAACACAAATTGTACTTGTCTCTCATTTTATTTATTTATTTGAATTGGTAATTGGCCATACGAAACTGTCCAATGAGAGTGTGAGCCCCATGTATGCAGTAGACAGTGAATTACGATCATAAGGTATCACATAGTTTACTGAGTATAAAATCATGGTGACTGTTAATATGTCCAGCTTACCTGCATATGTAAGGTTTTATGGACGGCTAGAGTTCGAGACTGACAGAATCCCTTCCCACATTCTTGACATTTGAATGGTTTTTCCTTGGAGTGGATGTATCTGTAAAACAGAAATGACACTTAATCAAATGTCTGCTCAGGCATGGATTCTCTTGTAGCGGTTATAAACCCCAGTCACAGGGCGAAACATACTGTGCAGCATAATGCGTAAAAGACCTTTAGCGCCCTCGTGTAGAACTATTTGGCAAACGCCTTTATTTGGTAGCAACATAAATAAAAAAACATATTTTAAATGCAAGTGACGAGGTTATTTAGATTAATACACATTTGGGATTACAATTATTTGCATAACCGGGAATACTGCTGGGAATATGTGAATGTGCAGCACCTTATCTGTTCAAAAATATATTTTACCTGTGGTCTCTGAGATGGTCCTGCCTTCTAAAAGCCTTGTGACAAATATCACAGGTGTAGGGCCGCTCGTCTGTGTGGGTCCTCTCGTGGATCAGGAGGTTGTAGGACTTGGTGAAATGCCTGCCGCAGAACTTGCAAATAAATTCCTTTTTAGTCTTGGATGGGAGCCTGCCCCGGGTGGGCTTTCTGTCCGGGGACAGCTTGCTCAGCTCGGAGATGGTTCCCCCTAGCCCCGACGCCAACTTCGCCAGATCCGCAGCCTTCGGCGGGTCCTCCTGAGTGGCAGCGAGGGCCAGGTTGGCGAAGTCAAACCTCGGCCTCTCCTTGTGCAGCAGGGGCAGGCCGTTTGCAAAGCCTGCTTGTTTAGGGTGGAAGAGCTGCGCTGCGGCTGTGAAGGGTAACGCTGGGAAGGAAATCCTGGGGTCCACCAGACCGTGGGCTGCTGCCATCTCTGTGATCGTCGACCTCAGGCCTTGGATGTGCGGGTAACCAAGAGTCCAGTGGTTCATGTGCATGGTCTGTACCGCGCTGAGGCCGTACAGCCCCTGCAGCTGCTCCGCGGGGAACGTGTTGACGGCCTGCAGGAAGGAGTAGTTGGTGAGCTGCAGGGCCGGGTGCAGGGGGATCGGAGCGTGCAGGGCTTTGCTCCCCATCTCGGCTCAGAACTCAGCAGAAGACACGGTAAATACCCTGAGAAGAAAACATACGAAAGGATGAGTGTTGTGAACAAATGCAACATTTGAGCCAGTATTAACAAAACGGCTCATCCACACATTCCCTTTGAGATCATGTTAAAGTGAAAACACCTGTTTGACTGTAGACTATTTTAACCTATAGTTTTGCTTTACTAAACTGACAGGATATATTCATGATGTGCGCTAACCAAAGGAAACGTATTCCCACTCTAATTTAAAGTGGGTAATGTGGACTCAGATTATTTAGCAAATTAATGATTATAATAATTTTATAATTTGCCAAAGGTGAGGGAGCTGATGATAAATGCATTGAAAATCGTTTTAAGTGATATCCTGTTCGTCGTCAGAGAACATACACACGCAGTAGCAAAAACACAGTGTGTCCCATGAAGACGGAGAGACGCTTCAAAGCGATTTAATAAAACAAATCAGTCATCGAAACTGTAATTAAATTAAGTGGGTGTGAAACACTCATATGGCATCGATTTACACTTTAAATTACACATGAAGAATAAAAATGCTCTAAATCTCATAGAAGGTATAATTAGAGAAGACACGTTGTAGTGTTTCACAATGAAAAACAAGTTTCTCCCATGTTTTTATGCAGAAGTTTGGAATTTTGCAAGCAGCGATCAAATCAGTGGGTGAGTCAGAGCAGAACACAGAAATGCTGGCCCTTACCCACAAGAAAGTGAATTTAATCCCTGCTAGAATGCATGTGCTTTTTATTTTCATATTGGTGGAACGTAGCCAGATAATTTATTCGGCCAAATATTTATCTTGTAGGTTTATTTTCTAAATGTGTTTTCTTTTAAAATAATATAGGTTTTCCAAGAAAACATAGTTGCAAATAACTTCTGGGCCTTTTAACTTCTCTACAGAACATGTTTACATGAAGATGAATCTATCTCCACAATGTAGGACACAGGGTGAAATATTAACAAGAATACTTGAGACCCGATGCCTCTGTTCCTGGATGACAAGTGGTGTTTCCAGCCCGGAGGAGAACCCCGTGTATCGGCCAGGTCTCCGGCGGAAACTGCGGTGCGACGGCGAGCTGACCTTCAGATTTAGTCGAGAATTACATTTAAAATAACAGTTTCCTGTATTTGAATATTTTTGTTAGCGGTTTTTGTCAGGTCAGATGAAATCGTATTTGAATCAAATATTTCACAAGGGTGCAGAACTTGAACTTTTCTGGAGATAAATACATGGTTCACACTGCAGAGTGAAAGTCCAGCCGGAGGGCTGCTGCTTGTTTCGGTTAGGTCATTACATTTGTTCCACAGATCTTTGAATACTTTGCTTCCCTTTCACAGGCGGGATAGGGTTAAATGAAAGTGTGCACAGGTGCAGCCCAAGTCACCATGCAGGCACTTGTTCTCCGATCATATGAACAAATGTGTTCAACCTGTTCTCTCAATAACCTTTGGACTTCACTTTGACAGCAGTCTCAACGCCTTGCCGTGTTCTTTTAGGCTAATCCTTGTCAGTTTCCCTTTTTGGACGAAGCCTTTACATTTCTTTAAATCAAGACTAGTTTTTATGGACTGCTTGTTTCGAGATGTTATGCACTGAGGACAGAGAACAGTGCTGTCAAAACGTGGGTGAACTATGACCTCAAGGTGTTGATCATCACCAAGCAACCACCACTTCTTAAACAACATTTAATTTAGCTTATGCTCATGGTACATTTTATATTTGTATTACCATTTTTGATCTATTTGATTTGAGCTGAAAACGTAGGCTATTGTCTTTAAATGAAAAGTTCTCCAAAGGAAGTTGAGAGTCCCTCCCTGCAGAAGACTGACATGAACACTAGCAAACAGAATCTTACCCCAATAAATAGCTGCAAAGGGTCCTGCTTTATGCCAGTAATCCACAGGAACTAAAGAGGCCAAGAGCTCCAATAAAGCGCCGCTGAAAGTTTTCCAAGTCCATGAAACTTTCATGAAGCCATGCGGTCAGCTGATGTCTCGGACCTTTGCAGAGATCTGACAGCTTGTAAAAGTAAGGAGGACCGACAGCAGCAGAGTGCGATCCGTTCGGAGCTGGGGCTGGAAGTGTGGGCAATGCGCACCGGTCCTCACTTTTCAGGGCTTCGGGGCTCTACAGCGCTCAGCCCGCCCTCCGACACGCCTCCACCCCCCTCCTCTATCATTAACTCCAATGTTCCTCCTCTGTTTATTTGTGTTTGGATAGCAACTAGGGCTCTAGACCATAGTATGAAGCGTGTTCTAATCTGACACCTCTCGTACCACATAGCCAAGGCTGATACCTTCTTTAAAGACATGATTGGAGGGGCACGAGGAAACCCTGATAGTTTGTTCCTCCAGAATGTTCTTTTGGAAACTCGAGCAGTTTACAAGATTTTTTTGAAACCATCAAATCCAATTGAGAAAGCGGAGGGCAAAAGCAAGAGCCATCGCTTTAAATAATTGTATTTATTTGTGGTAGGATAAAGAATAGTGTGGTTTGTGACACCCTGCAGCATGGCGCACACACAAAGTCAACGGCATGTGTTTCTTCTGACAATTAGCTGCTCTTTTCTCACTTCTCCACAGTTTCATATTTCTCAGGAACTTCTGGTTTATTTTATCGTTATGAAAACGTCACACGGGTTGCAGGTTTGCCTGTGTTATTTACAACTAAATAGGCGTTTTACCCGAGTCAGCTCCTAGTTCTCCAAACATGAATTGTCCTTTTATTATTTTTCATATATTGTGTGCAATGAAATTGTTTGTCATTTGTTGAGGTAGGCTACTATATGAAGGCAATGTGTTGTATCAAAACTATTGATTTTTTTGTAAAGATACTAAAGTGTGATTCTTTTTATTACCATTGTCCAATCTTTTGATTAAATATATTAGAAGTGGCACCGTGAGAGATTAATTACACTGGTTTTGAATTACTTTGCGGTTGGTTTTTCGCCACAGATTAAATATAATGCGAACTTGGTAAGACTTTTGACAGCCCGAATCAAAAGTGCGCGTCTTTGTGACACACACACACACACACACACACACACACACACACACACACACACACACACACACACACACACACACACACACACACACACACACACCGGCTTCGATCAGCAGGTTCATGTAAACGCAAATGTTTGATTCCTCACAGAAGGAATTGTTGAATATTAATTTAAAAAAAATACATTTTAATCAAAGATAAAAAGCAAATGTACTTTCGTGAAATGTAGAATTACTAGGATTGTTATGAGCCATTTGTTATACATAATTGTAATGAAATATTTTGATTCTCTAATTCTCCTATAATTTCACTGCGCATGACAGAACGACAGGAGGAGACATTACGTTTTGAACAGGAATATGAAACGTATGATGCTGAGTGTAGCAGGACACATAGCTGTTGTCTCTTTGCACACAGTTGGTCTGCAGCGCCGCCTATTGGCTCCTCAACTACACAACAAGCTCTTCCTCAGTGTTTGCGGCTCTGGCAAAACTTCAATATTTCTGACCATAACCACTTCAAAAAAATGTATAAATGCTGTATCACAGTGGGGAATTAATAGCCTACTTTTCAAACAATTCATATATTTGAGTGATTTATCCAACAAAGCAATAACAGTTAAAATATGATTTAAAGGATAATTGGAGATAATTCATGCAAGTCTTTAAACCCGAGTTAATCCTTATTTTGCACATGCCAGATCTCCGTTCATTATGTGCGGGATAACAACCGTGTCGTTTTTCAGATGAAGAGCTGCAGCACATTGTGCACCCTGCATGCTTGTGGTTTTCGTTCGGTTTCATATCACCCGGGTCCCTGTCTTCACTGTCAGAACACTGAGCATTGCGGACAGATTAGAAGACACATAAAACCCCACATTTTTACATTAAAGACGATGACATTTTCTCAACATATCCGTTTCACGAAATGTATAACAATTTAAATTGTGTTTGTGCATTTTGGTCCTTGGAAAAAATACATTAGAACAACCAGCGTTTTTTATACCTCCTAGCTGCTCTATAATATGTACAATAACCAATCATTTAGTTTCAATTTAAAACAAGGTATAGGTTACATTATTTTCCTGAGGGAATTTAGTTTTTTTGTTTGAAGCTGGGAAACACTAACGATGAATTATAATGCTTTTAGTATAATTCTTTAGTGATTTGAACTCAGATGTATTTGATAGTAAAATGACTTAATGGCTTTGCTTCATGCCACTTCTACATTTGGTTTCCTTATAACTACTCTGTTACTTTACTGTCATGATCTCAAACCATGATAAGGTGTCGATTTTCGTGCTTTTATTTTGCCTATAAATATGCTTGTATCTGCTACAACTCCAATACATAACAATATGAATAACATACAAAACGTTTAGAGACTGGCCTTTTATTTTGTTTCAGTTGCTACGTGGCTTGTATTTGTCGCTTTTATCTTACAGTTACACCAGCTATTTCTATTGGATTACCGTATTCTTTATAGTAGTGCTAATATCAGAGCCAGTGAGTTAGTGCCTTGCCCTGAGGCCCCTGAGGCCGCCATCCTCTGACCGGGCTCCTCACAGAGGCAGCTCTGCAGCTGCCAGGTCTAATGGACGACACTCTTCCAATAACAGTGCACAGACTAATAAAGAACTACAGAGCTCTCATGGATTTGCCAAACACCTGCCAGGACTTCATTTCATGTATATGACATGACCTATTTTTTTTTAATGTTTTAAATGTGAGCCCTATTCAGGATTTTTCTTAATTACATTTGTTAATAAAATATTTGGCTCAGAATATTGAGTCAGATTGTGTATTCCTCTTTGGGTCGGGAATATAGTTCAGCTCTAGGGAAAATGTGTTGAAAATACTCTGTTACAAGTAAAAGTCCTTAAGTAAAAATTATACTTAGTAATAGTAAACAAGTATAAGCTTTAAAATATACTTAAAGTACTCATACTCAGAATGGCAATTTTTTGATTATAATTATTGATGCATTCATGTATTTGCTGCATCTGATAAATCTAATGGAATTACTTTATGTACTGCTGGGTATAGCTTGTGAATTTCTCCAGGTATAAATAAAGTTTAAGGTATGTGTTATATATTATTATAATATTTCAATCATTTGAATCTGAAAAGTAAATAATAAATGATAATATTAAATAAATACATTAGAGTAAAAAGTACAAACATCTGATATAGTGGAGTAAAAGTATAAAGTATCGCAGAAAATGGAATTACCCAAACGAAGTACAAGTATCTACAATGTAGTACAGAACTTAAGTAAATATACTTAGTTACCTTCCACCACTGCCTACAGATTAGGTTGGAAGCGTTTTTTTTATTTGTTGAAAAGTGAAATAAATGTAGAAAGTCAGTGTCTCGGCTCTTAAGATCTGACTTCTCTCATAAGATATAATATTCAGCTCCAACAGATTCCTGTGTTGTGTAACCTTGCTCTCAAATGTCATACTCACATGTCGTCGCTGACAGAGAGTGTGGAGCTGCTGCCGGCTGTTAGAGTGTCTCTCTGTGAGCCTGTCCTCCTGTGAGCCTCTTTGAGCCTGTCTCTCTGTGTGCCTGTCTCTCTGTGTGCCTGTCTCTCTGTGAGCCTGTCTCTCTGTGAGCATGTCTCTCTGTGAGCCTGTCTCCCTGTCTCTCTGTGAGCCATGTCTCTCTTTGAGCCTGTCTCTCTGTGAGCCTGTCTCTCTGTGAGCCTGTCTCTCTGTGAGCCTGTCTCTCTGTGAGCCTGTCTCTCTGTGAGCCTGTCTCTCTGTGAGCCTGTCTCCCTGTGAGCCTGTCTCTCTGTGAGCCTGTCTCCCTGTGAGCCTGTCTCTCTGTGAGCCTGTCTCTATGTGAGCCTGTCTCTCTGTGAGCCTATCTCCCTGTCTCTCTGTGAGCCTGTCTCTCTGTGTGCCTGTCTCTCTGTGAGCCTGTCTCTCTGTGAGCCTTTCTCTCTGTGAGCCTGTCTCTCTGTCTCTCTGTGTGCCTGTCTCTCTTTGAGCCTGTCTCCCTGTGAGCCTGTCTCCCTGTGAGCCTGTCTCTCTGTGAGCCTGTCTCCCTGTCTCTCTGTGAGCCTGTCTCTCTGTGAGCCTGTCTCTCTGTGTGCCTGTCTCTCTGTGAGCCTGTCTCTCTGTGAGCCTTTCTCTCTGTGAGCCTGTCTCTCTGTCTCTCTGTGTGCCTGTCTCTCTTTGAGCCTGTCTCCCTGTGAGCCTGTCTCTCTGTGAGCCTGTCTCCCTGTGAGCCTGTCTCTCTGTGTGCCTGTCTCTCTTTGAGCCTGTCTCCCTGTGAGCCTGTCTCTCTGTGAGCCTGTCTCTCTGTGTGCCTGTCTCTCTTTGAGCCTGTCTCCCTGTGAGCCTGTCTCTCTGTGAGCCTGTCTCCCTGTGAGCCTGTCTCTCTGTGTGCCTGTCTCTCTTTGAGCCTGTCTCCCTGTGAGCCTGTCTCTCTTTGAGCCTGTCTCCCTGTGAGCCTGTCTCTCTGTGAGCCTGTCTCTCTGTGAGCCTGTCTCCCTGTCTCTCTGTGAGCCTATCTCTCTGCTCATGTTGACAGACAGGATGTCGGGTCCATAGTGTAGGAGCAGTGTGTGTGTGTGTGGGGGGGGGGGGGGGGGGGGGGGGGGTTAACCTGTCACTCTTACCTGTGGTTTCAAAGCCCCCACATCCCCACCTACACTCTCACTCATCCTGTCCCAGCAGCTCTCGGATGGGTGTTTTTCCTTCAAAGACCCCCATAGTCATATTTTCCTTCACATCACACTCTTTTACATGAAATTGAAAATTGTGCATTGCCTCATGGGTTGTTTTCATTTGAGAGGGAAACTGAATCCTATAGTGTCTCTTTTTTGTATTTTGTAAGTGTTTCTCTATATTTATTAAGCATGTATACATGACAATATAAATAGGAATATATATATATCTCTGTTGGTCATTGTGAGGTGTTTCTATAGTAATATATGTTTGTATGAAGTTCATTTATAACGTCATTTTTAAAAGAAACCACATTTCACTTTATATGGATTATTTTTAGAAGTTTTGAATACATATCACTAAAAAGTCAGGGCCGCA